CTGTTCTTTGTGACTCTTTCAGAAGAAAGGACACAGCAAATGGCCCAGCCTGCAGCAGCAGCCCTCAGTTGGCCTGACGTGCTCTAGGCTCCCAGACTGGACTGGGTCTGTTTGTACAGGAATTCTGGGAGAAGAGGTAGGGCACAGGGGTTCTCCCAGCCCCTCTTTCAAGAAAGACCTTCTCCACCCTGCAAACAGAACAGCAATCGAGACACAAGCTGCTCGCTGCGATAACGAGTGCTTGAAACACCACTAGAACACCAGGTATTTCGCATAAGGACTGGCACTAGGGCCCCTCAAGACTCACTTTGTGCGACTCCAGTTTGCATCTACTGATTTAAAAAAAATGCACGTAGGGGATAATACATTTTCCCTCTGAAGTCATGGCAGCTCCCCCCTGTGGGAGCTCTGTGTCACCGCAGCAAGCATCTATCAGTCCACAGCTGTGCACATTACAGGTCTGTTTTTCCACTGCAGCAACAAAATAGACATCGAAATCTACAAGGTCACAGGAGAATGGGCACTGACTGGAGGAGTGGGGTGTCTCACTGACAGACTGGGGGCTCAGTGGGCGCAGACTGGAGGAGTGGGGTGTCTCACTGAACGACTGTGGACCCTGAGTGGAAGAGTCGGGTGTCTCACTGAATGACTGTAGATGCTGACTGGACGAGTGGGGTGTCTCACTGGCCAGGGGTGTTCCTCGGGCTGTAGCACTCTGAACTGAAAGAGGTCAGCTCAAGTTCATCCAAACTCGGGACCTCTTGGCCAGCTGTGTAGTACTACATGGGAATCCCAGCAACCTCTGTGCTATAGCAGCTCAACCCCACAGTGCCTTTAGCAGCTGAGCCACATGAAAGCACGTGTCTGGTCTCTTTCAAACTTCACTCTGCCTCAATCCATCCTCCACTGCAGCAAGAGCACACAAGGGCACTTGTATTCAAGAACTTTTATTATTCTGAAACCCAAATACTTATTTTTAAACATCATTGGCTGCTGTGCATGTATTATGTCATTAATAATACCATGATGAACTCTTACAAGAAGTTTTTTTTTGTATTTTCCTTTTTTTGCCGTGTTTGAATGACTCTTTTTGTTTCCCCATGTAATGCAATTATTTTCTAAAGATAATAATACATGAACAGAGTGTAAAAGGTATTATCCGATCAGTTAAAAATAATATCAAGCATTTAACAAAACCTTCGCCAACCTGAGCAACCTGCAGAGAGAGAGGAAGAAAAAGGAGACGGACAGAAAGACTTCGGCCTTCACCAGTAGACGACAACAGGACAGAGCGAGAAGAGTCACAGCCAGGCTGTGCAGTGAGAAGAGAGCAGTGTTAATATTAGCAATAGGAAAACTAACTGTTTCTCTAAGTTCTATATTTCTAATCTGGTCTTGTTTTTCAGCACTTTTTGTATATCAAAGTTTCCTAATGAGACGAAGTGGCTGGAGCCTCATGTTCTACTTGTAAGTGGGGGGTGGTGGAGTGGGAGTGGGGTTCTTGTCAAACAGGTGCCGAAGGGACACAGAGGGCAGGTCGGAGAGGACGAGGAGGAGGAGGAGGAGGAGGGGGCACAGGAGAGGCCCGTGATCCTGCAGATCCAGGACCTGCACTGGGGTTAAACCGGAGAGGAAAATCTGTTTCTGCCACCAGGAGACTCCCGTGAAGACCCCTCGAACAGTTCAGTCTGGAGCACACGAGGGAACAAGCGTTCTGAGGACTGGAACAAGTCACTGTGCTAAAAGGGACAGGGACCCAGCCGACCCCCTGGGCAGGTCGGGGCGTCTTCAGGGGAACCCCAGCCCCCAGAGCAGCAGTGCCCCCACACTCCTTTCACCAGATCCAAATCTCACTTCGTATGACTCCCACCGTGTCTTCTGCAGCAGGCCTGGCCAGGTCGCAGAGGAGGGGCAGGAGCTTGGAATTCACCCCCTGTCCAGCCCAGCACCCGTGTGCCCGGGCAGCAGGAGCCAGCGAGAGGAGCAACTCTCCCACACAAGGGCACCGCAGCAGGGGCGAGTGGGGCGCGCCTGCAGGGCTGTGGGAGAGGGGGCTCTGCTGTTCTGCTTTTGTTGGAGAAGAAGGGGGGCGAGTCTGCATGGTTGTGTGTGTGTGTGTGTTGACAGCACAGTGTGGGGACCAGGTTTGCGCTACTTTAACATTAACAGCAGGTGACAGGATCAGAGCTGCAGGCCAGGCCAGCGGGGGAGAAGGGGGGCAGAACTGAAGGCCGGGAAGGGCGGAGGGATGGAGGGCGCAGTCAGGGCAAGCCTCTCGAACCCCTGCTCTCCTCAGCAGCTGCAGGTCTCGGCGGACGGCCGCGCCCGCTCGTTCTTGTCCAGTTTGATCGGCTCCGGGAACTCGTTGTACAGCTCCACCTCCGTCTCCTGAGAGGAGGGGGGAGACAGGAAGAGCGATCGTTAGCGGGAGCCGGGAGGGCAAAGGCCGGGCAGGGAAAGCGGGCCCTCCGCAGTACCGAGGCCGCCAGCAGGGGGCTCACCTGCTTCAGGGCGTTGCGGGCGATGGTCTGGAAGGCCTGCTCCACGTTGATGGCCTCCTTGGCACTGGTCTCGAAGTACGGGATGTTGTTCTTGCTCTGGCACCAGGCCTGAGCGCGCTTGGTGGTGACCTGGGAGGCAGAGAGGGATCAGCGCGGGGCAGAGGGGGGGACAGCAAGGCGGCAGAGACAGGGAACACATGAGAGCGAGCCCCTCCCTCGCCAGCCCCCCACAGAGACACCCCCACCTGGTCTTTACCATCGCTGCACTGAGAAGACCCAGCCGGACCGGACTCGCAGGAGTGACCCTGAGAGCGCCCAGAACCCGAGCCAGACTGGACTCGCAGGAGTGACCCTGCGCGCGCCAGCCCCCCCACAGAGACACCCCCACCTGCTCTTTACCATCACCACGCCGAGAGGACCGGTCCGGACCGGATCCAGACCGGAGTGGCAGGAATGACCTGCCAAAACACCCAGAGCCCAAGCCCGGGCCCACCAGCACAGTCACACACAGCTCGGACTCGGACTCGCAGCCACGGTAACCCATCGCATGGCAGCTCCCACGGCCCAGAGCCCACACGCGGCAGCTCTGCGCTCACCTGGCGGTTCTCCAGGTCGATCTTGTTGCCCAGGACGACGAAGGGGAAGTTCTCGGGGTCGCGGGGGCTCGCCTGGATCAGGAACTCGTCCCGCCAGCTGTCCAGCGTCTTGAAGGTGTTGGGGGCCGTGACGTCGAACACCAGCACGCAGCAGTCCGCGCCCCGGTAGAACGCCACGCCCAGCGACTGGAAGCGCTCCTGGCCCGCCGTGTCCCAGATCTGAGGGATCGAGAGAAAAAGAAGAAAAGAAGGAGGAGAGAGTCGGGAGTAATCAGAAGAGAGAAAGAGAGAGGGAGGGTGACAGAAAAAGAGGATGAAAGAAAGAGAGAGGGAGAGAGAGGAAAGGAGCGAGGTCCAGACAGACAGAGGGTACCTGCATTGTGACCAGCCTGTCGTCCACCATCACCTCTTTCGTCAGGAAGTCGGCTCCTATTGTGGCCTTGTACTGGTTACTGAACTTCTTGTTGACGTACTGGTTCATCAGGGAGGTCTTCCCCACCCTGGGAGGAGGCACAGAGACTGAGCTTACTGTCACGGGATTGAGATCGGGGCAACAATCGGCCCTCCTCCCAGCCGGTCAGTGCGAGCCGGCGCCTCCGAACAGGCTGGACAGACGGAAGCAAGAGGACGCAGGCGGAGACGGGTTCGAGCCAGAGAGGACTGGGAAGGTGAAAGGCTGCAGGCAGCGGCAGAGAGTGAAGATGTGGAGCGAGACAGGGAAGGGGCTCTTCCAAACCGGGTCGAGGGGGGGTGAAGGGAGACCAGCGACCCGGCAGGCAGGAGAGATGGGGGGGCGGCGCTCGGACACTCACTCACCCGGAGTCTCCCAGGATGATGACCTTCAGCAGCACCTTCTTCCTGGACGTCATTCTGTCGGAGCTGCAAGAAAGAGGGAAAAATCCCAGATTACCAGCAGAAAAGAGCTGGAAATCTGAGCTTCACAGGACACAGGGGGCGGACTGGTCCTGGGTGGGTCTCCATGGAGCTCTGCGGGTTTTAGGCACTGGCAGTTAAGGGGCTTGACAGAGAACAGATTATTGCACAACACCAAGCAAGAAACAGAGGAGACCCAAACATTGCATTGCCTAAGAGCATCTGGACTTGCACCTTACATACAGAAGATGCAGACGACCGATACCTACAGTTGGGCCTGGGGGAGATGCCTGAAGACAGCAGGAGCTCACACGCTGCAGGCAGTCAGAGCTGAACCAGGACGAGATACCCAACACGCTGGCAGAATTAAAACAAGAAATTTCTCTTGGAATAATTAATAAAATTAGATTGTGTCACTAATTAAAACCGTTCCCTGCACAAGTCAGCAATCTCGCTTCACTGGGGTGGTTGTGGGCTCCTGTGACCAGAGTGCAGTGTTTACAATCAGGTGAGCACCCTGACGAGCTGCACAGACGAGCCGGGTTCGAGCCAGAGACAGGAGTCACAGCGCAGCTGCGCAGATGAGCGGGGTTCGAGTCAGAGTGACTTTCCTGTCTGTGTGCAGAGACTCATCATGGACACATTCCCCTCCTGTCCAATTCCCAACTACACTGGGCACCCGGAGAAACGACAGCACTGCTCTGGAAAGAGCCCACAGAACAGCAGCCAGACCGTTCCAGCTCACACGGCTGAAAGGCTGACCGAACCGCTTCACACTTGAGGAGAGAAGGCTGGGACCCCACTAGTCAATTACTAAAAACTTTCAAAGGCACAGACAAAAATCATCCCATCTAAAAGGCCCCTGCCTTCAAAATCAGCAATGAAACATGAATTTTAGACCAAGGGGCTTGGGGCATTACTCAAGGGTGGTGGGAGTATGAAATGGCTGCCCAGCCATGCTGTTGAAACCGATAGCCTGTCTTCTCTCAAGACACAGCTGGATGAGCTCCTGGGATCAATGAGCTACTGGCTGGACAGCCGAACATCCCTTCTGCCTGGCACATCCACAATGCTGCCAAAACATGTGACCAACCAGAAACAATCACTTGTGTACTACTACAGCCTAGAAAAACAAAACTTAAAGCAACAAGAGTGAAAGAGTTAAATTCACATTATTTTAACAGAGGAAAATATCAATAAAACAAAACAGAGTTATGTGTACAGACATGCAAACTAGACGAGCCAGCAGTAAGATGCAGGTGCCACACAGAAAAACCCACCCCTGTGGTCTCCCTCTCCTCTGGAACAACTGAGCAGTGCAGACCAAGGTAGCTACAGCGCTCACTGTGGACCGGACCGTCAGTTCTGCCAAACCGACTCAGATTCAGAGCTTTTTCTGGCAGTCTGGCAGGTGTGGAAATTCTGGGATGTGAACAGCTGTTTTTAGGAAGAATGTTTCTCTTATTGTGGTGCATTGTACAGCACAGTAAAAGGTACAATTATGTTTCTGTGTCCGAGAACATTGCCATGGGAGCACAAGTATCCTCTCTGGTCAGCCAGGTCTGCCTGTGTCCAGTTTCCCTGGCCAGGCTGTGGTCACTGAGGCTATCCTATCTGAAGAGCCAGGCCTGCCTGTGTCAGCCCATCTGCATGGCCTGGCTGTGGTGACCATCGGGAGGACAGTACAGGATCACAGTGGCTGTCTGCAAACGATATATTTTATCTAAACTGTTGTTTCATTTACATATAGTCTTAATTTTGTCGATGAAAATGATGAAAATGCCTGTCGTCTATTATCTGATCATGTATGAAAAGCAGCTCCACAGAGACAGACAGCATGGCAAAAGCCAGTGTCCTAAAGAACAAGTGATTTTGATTGCAACCTTGAGGAATCTACAGTCCATGCATTTGGAATTTTTCTAGTGACCGAGCTGCATTTTTTAAATATTTGTTTTAATAAGCCATGGCTGACATGAAGAGGATATTTGAAATAAGTGAAATAACACACTGCACACGTGAGGAACAGTTGTATCCATCAGAGATCAAAACACAGCTCCTGCCCACACCTCCACAGAGAAACACAGCTCCTGCTTCATTCCCCCCCTGAGAAACACAGCTCCTGCTTCATTCCCCCCCTGAGAAACACAGCTCCTGCTTCATTCCCCCCCTGAGAAACACTGCTCCTGGCTTCTGTCCCTTCACACAGACGAGACTGCCAGCAGGTGGTGGTGACCTCTGACCTGTGACACAGCCATCCTTGATGGCTGGAGAGACAGTCAGCTCGTTTCCCTGGAGCTCTGCCGGACTGCCCCAGCGCCGGGGAGACAGAATGAGAGACAGGAAGGACCCCCTGGTCCAGGGAGCAGCTCCAGTGTTCGTGGGGTGAGGACACTGCCTCCCGGCCCAGGACAGCAGGAGTGTGGGGCTGTACAGCGCCGCTCACACGCCCGTCATGTGGTGCATCAGCTGCTGAGGCACGAGGGAGGGAGGCCGAGACACACACACACACTGCCAGACACACATACTGATGCAACCATGATCACCTACTCCGTGACATTTTTCAAATATCACCAAAACCTGTAGCAATTTAATATAGTCTAAAGGATTTAAAAAATTGCTTCAACTTTTAATTTAGATCATGAACAAACAGGGTCAAACATCAACAATGCCCTGGGGCAGACACTGCCCCAGAGAGGCCTTCTGTGTAGAGCCCCAGTGTCAATCAACAACCCCCCAGGAAGGGGTGGGGCTGACCGGGACCACGCCCACTCCAGCTCTGATTGGCCAGAGGCTGTGGCCTGTGCACTACATCTGAATAGCCAGACCAGGAAGCGTTGTGTCAGTATCCTGAGGCTCTCTGGGAACAGCTTGTGCCCTGTTACACAATCTGGAGAGAAACAACAACTCCAGTCTTTCCCAACTGCTCGTGCCTGCGCTGCTCCGCTGGAACACGGCGACCCCATCCACTGGGCATGTCAGCTGCCATGAAGCGCCGACTCCAGCAGGGAGCTGGATTTTATAAACAACTCTAACCCGTGACAAACTACAATCACGCCTCAGGGCACTGCACCATGAAAGGCAGAGATTGATAAACAGTCAACTGGATAGCTCCCTGAACTCGATACCTGCATTCCACAACACACAAGTTTCAATGTCCTTTTCCCCCTCTCAATAAAACTGGGACCCTTTCGTGTGCTGTCTGGAGCTCTGTGAAACCAGGGGTTTACGCTGGAGTCACTTTGTTATCCAGATATAATAATAATAATAATAATAATTGCTTACACTTATATAGCGCTTTTTCTGGACACTCCACTCAAAGCGCTTTACAGGTAATGGGGACTCCCCTCCACCACCACCAATGTGCAGCCCCACCTGGATGATGCGACGGCAGCCATAGTGCGCCAGAACGCTCCCCACACATCAGCTATCAGTGTTGAGGCGAGCAGAGTGATGAAGCCAATTCATAGATGGGGATTATTAGGAGGCCATGATTGGTATGGGCCAATGGGGATTTAGCCAGGACGCCGGGGTTACACCCCTACTCTTTTCGAGAAACACCCTGGGATTTTTAATGACCACAGAGAGTCAGGACCTTGGTTTTACGTCTCATCCGAAGGACGGTGCCTGTTTACAGTACAGTGTCCCCATCACTACACTGGGGCATTAGGACCCACATGGACCACAGGGTGAGCACCCTGACCCTGTCAGATCAGTGCAGGCAGGAGCCAGAGTGGAGGGAAACTCCCGTCACGTTCCAGAGAGACCCTGGGAGCTCCTGCCTCCCTCGACAAACAGCACGCTGCCGTCTACAAACGCCCTCCGACGGAGAGGGGGGCTGAGCAGCTCCGGGCTGGAGGAACAACCTGGGAGCCGAACAATCGCACCCCCATAGCCGGAGAGCATCCTGCTCCTCTGAGCCCAAGGAAGGACAGGAGAGACGCGCAGCCTCTTCTCCCTCGCCTGACCGGGGTCACCACCGACCCCTCGACCACACACCTCCCACAGAACGAGGCGTCTGTGTCCCACCTACATACCCAGACAGAGATGACAGCAACACAGGCACCTAGCAGGTCTTGGCACCAGGGACCAGTGTGTCCAAGACGCAGCTGGAGGACCGAGCCCAGGGCAACAACCCTGTTTACTCTACCGCCCGCGCCCTTGAGAAATCCAGCCCTCCGTCACGGTCGGGGAGGCAGCAACAGCAACAAAGCAGCTTCAACAACACAGCTAGGACAAACACTGCTGCATACAGCCCCCAGCGCTGCCCAGCCCCAGTCCCTCCAGACTCGACCACACTGGAGCACAACAGTGCTGCCCGTTCCGCTACAGACTGCAGGCTCCTGCAGCAGGATAAGAGGCAGCTGAGGGCCTGTCCTTCACAGACCTGTGTGGCCCACCGAGCCGGAGCCCACAGCATCCCCTGCTGTACAGGCCAGGCTGCCTCTCCCAGGTGGGACAACTCGGCCATCACAAGTTCACCTGCCTGTGAACGAAGCCGGGCCGGCGCACCCCCCCCCCAGCCACCAGAGGGGGCAGCACTGCGCAGCACGGGCCGGCCTGCGATCTGCTCTCGCACTCGGAGGCAGTGAAAAAAAAGAGACACTCGGAAAGGTTACATCAGCAGCCTTCCTTTGGAAAGCCAGGCGTACAGGCTAAAAACAAGCATTTTGAGCTCAGCTGCCATGTTATTCTCTGCCAAACGAGTTCCACAGCAGGATTACAGGCCAGGCTGAATAGGAAATGGGCTTCACCGCCATGTCCAGCCCCTCAAGCTGCCCCACTGACAACAATGACAGCGCAGAGAGGTTCCGCTACAGGGTAACACTCAACTGTAAAAACAAGGAATTCCTACTGTCTGGACTTCAGTAAACAACCCTAGTTCTCTTGAATTCTGGGTAACCAGTTAGAAAAACAAACACCAAACCAACGTGTCAGTTTACCAACACGCTGCGCTGGTAGACTCAGTCAAAACTGGGCTGCAGCACTCCGCGTTTATCTTGTTTGTCTAAGTTTGTTTGTGTGCTGGAAGCATGTCTCTGTAATTCACAGTTCTGTATCCATAATAAAATTCATGCAACATCTCACAGTTCCAAAAAAAAAACATCCCAACCACGTCTGTAGAGCACTGCAAGTGTTCTCATGTGAATCAGAGAGCACTTCACACAGAACTCAAACGCTCTCTCTGTTCCAGGCTCTGGTGCCAGAACAGTCTGGGCGCGTGATGGGTGTCTAGGGTGGCCCAACCGAAAACAGATACCATACTTCTGGTGCCTCTGCAAGGAGACCTGGGTGTAACTGCAGGGTCTCATCAGAACTCTGCGCCCTGCAGATTGTGAACTCCATCACTGGCAGCCCCTGGATCTGACGAGGCTGCACTTGAACCCCCCCACACAGAACCTGCCCACTGAGCGTGGAAAGATGCTTGAGCCTAGCTTGCGTCACGAGTGACACAGGTGTTTAGAAACACTGCGGAGCTCTTCTGCTGCAGACGAGTGTCTGTCTGTGTTGCATCAGGCCCTCCAGAGCCACCGCCCGGCCGGAGGTTGGTCAGATCTGTGCTGGTGACACGACGGAACCTCCCTTCACTGGCATGAATCTGCTGGGAGGTTATTACAGAGTTGTTACAACTTAGTTATCAAAAAGTCCAAGAAAACCTGCTGGACTGAGGTGTCAGGATCAATCCAGTTCAGGGTTGAGCTGGCCAGTGTCCGCTGAGAGGCCTGAGACACGAGTGACCAGGGCTGAACTGACCACAGTGTCCAGAGAGCCACCTGAGACATGAGTGACCAGGGCTGATCTGGCCATAGTGTCCGCTGAGTGGCCTGACACCTGGGCTGAGCTGACCACAGTGTCTGGACAGCATCTTGAGACCAGGGCTGACCAGTGTCCAGAGAACATCCCGACCCACACAGTGCTGGACAAGACTCTCCGGTCGTTTCCTCTGGGCAGTGTTGCTGCTGTTCCCCTGGGTCAGGTGGTCCGCAGCCCCTGCACTCTTAGTTTGGTCTGGAGGTGCAGCCTCGAAGCCCAGCCACCACGCTCACACATCCCGTTCGCCCGAAGTGCTGGAGGACCCGAGGTAACCCCTTGTTCATACCCGGGGATCACCCGAGGCCAAGCCCATACAGGGGTGTCAAGACCACCATCAGCCCGCGGACCACTGAGCAGACAGCCTGCTGCTCACAGCCACGACAGGCATCAGGACCAGCAGCTTCCAGCCTCTGCTTTCAGACTGAGGGATTTGTTTACCTGAACTAGTACTAAACAAACCTTTGCAGACTGTGAGTACAAGCACACACCCAGACTCTGGCAGATCGCAGTGAGCTCAGGGCCCCACACACTGCAGGAAAGACGGAACAGAGCCATCCCTGAGCTCATCCGACAGAAGAAGAAAAAGTGTTTTTTTTTTTTAAAGAAAGACGATTTAATATTGATGTGAGATACGGGATGGAGTGGACTGATCACAGCACAGATGTGTTCCGATTTCTCTCTCCAGTGTCTCCCAGTATCGGGACTGATTTCCTCAATCTGGCGTTTCCATATTTAATCTGCAACCCATGACACTAAGAAAAGTCGGATCACATGGTCTGAGAGTTTTTTTTTTTGCCAAGGAGAATCTGCTTCCTTCGCTGGCGAGAGATCACCGCCGACAGCTGAGGCCTCTTTCCAGTCGCTGCGTCTTGCTCCGACATCCGAGCGCGTCCAGATGTCACAGCAGCTGCCCGGCCCGGCAGCGCCGGTCCGGTAACAGGTTCAGAACCGGACTCCTGCCCCTAACCGGAAAGCACAATGTCGCCTCTTGCCACCCGGACCAGCTCGGCGGGGTCTCGACCGATTCAACCGCTCTGATGTCACGGTCGACGGTCACAACACCCCCAGTCCGACATAAACGCAGGGGTGACAAACTCCTACTGCCACGAATAACAGAATAACGGACACAGACTGGAAACGACGCCCGACAGGCCATTGTTTTCCAGGAATTTTCCGCGGACAAGGGGCTCCTCCGTGTCCTACGGGCCCGGTTCCATCCCCGGTCTGCATTTGACCGGCCCCCGCACCCGTCCGCCACCGGCTGCCCGGCCCTGTGGCACACAGCCACGGCCGGTCCAAGGTCCGCACCGGCGGGAGGTAAGGGTGCAGGCCGGCCCGGTCGCCTCCGAGCCCCGGCCTCTCCCCAGCTCCGAGCCCCGGCGCAACAGGGCCTCCTCCGGCGAGGCTCGCCTCCCTGCCTGCGCTCCCCCCACCCGCCGCTGGCAGACAGCGGCTCCCCGCGCAAGCTTGCGGGACAAACTCACCCGGATCCCCAGAGGCGCTGGTCGAGGTCGTGTTAATGAGATAGAAACCCACAGCCTCTTCTCCGCGGTCTCAGCTCGACACTGGGGCAACAGTCCGCACAATCCCCGTCACTCCTCCTCCGAGGCACCTCTCTCGGCTCTCGGCGTGATTCCGCCGCGAGTACAGAAGCTGCGCTTTCCTTGGTGATTTTTGCAGCCTTATTTGTTTAGTTTTTTTTCCTGTCTTCTCCGACCCCTTGTGCACGACCTATGTCTCTTTCTCTGTCTCTCCGCGCTCCCTCACTTCCTCCAAAACAACCCCTTGTGTCAGCGGGCCGCTGACGTCATCCCGCACGCCCGACGGGGCCCCGCCCCTGGTCCCCGCCCACGGCTCTGCATCTGCCGTCCCGTTGGCTAAAGCTCGTAACCACGCCCGTACGTGCCGGGCCGTAAACCCCGCCTGTCCCGCCCCGCTCATGAATTATTAATCAACAGCGTGACCTGCGGCTTCACATCTGCAGACACGCAGCCATTGTTTAGCGGAGCCTCTGCTGTCATCTTAGCAGGTGCAACCCAGTGCGCCGACTGCACGGTAACAACATCACAGCGCCTCTCTAGAAAACGTCAGAAGTCCTTGACTTCTTAAACGGCAGGAGCTCAGGGATGAAGAGAATGTGAGATTAGGAAAGCAGGAAGGGCAGTAGGAATTTCAGACAGCTAAGGAATCAAAGCGATATAAATATTAACCATAATTATAAACTGCAGTTTCCTCTATATGGCCTTTCTTGCCTTTCAAATTTATATCTGATTTATTAACAATATATCAATGAAACAATAAGAGACTTGAAGCTGTGTCAGCATGCGTAGGCTGCAGAGAAACAGGTGAAGGTTTATTCCCTGCTGGAAGGAAACATCCTCATGCCTCCTGCCTGATGAAGGCTCCTTAGCCAGACTCCATGACTGTTGTCCTGCAACACAGAGGGAGAGGGCAGGTGGGGTTCCTGTACTGCGACACAGGGGGAGAGGGCAGGTGGGGTTCCTGTACTGTGACACAGGGAGAGGGCAGGTGGGGTTCCTGTACTGTGACACAGGGAGAGGGCAGGTGGGGTTCCTGTACTGCGACACATTTGTACTGATTACAACACTCAGTAAGTAATTGGGTAAGTAAACTCATTTTCTACAGAATGCTTACTGAATATCTGTCAGAATAACCTTCAGAGTTTAGAACTACATCTTTGGTTTGCATTGAGCTCTTATTTCCTGAGATTCACCCCCTGATTCTGGCCTCTTCTCCCAGACAGATCCCTGGACCAGTCTCCTAGGACATGCTTAAGTTCTTTTGTTGCCACGGTAACCCTCCTCATGATGCTCATTATGGACAGGAATGATTGTAGCCAAGCCTAAGGAACCTCGTGAACTTTATTCAGCTCTGTGAGCATTAATTATTGGCATGTTGCTAGAGTATGATACACTAGTAAGGCCTGATTTACAATATTGTCTGCAATCCTGTCACCACAATCTAGAAAAGATGTTGCTGGCCTGGAATGGAGAAGAACAGCCAGATCCACTCTGGGGCCCAGAGGACAGTCCTGCTCTGAGCAGCTGCAGGGACTGGACCTCTAGTCTGGGCCGGGGGACTGTGAGGAGACCAGATACCTGTCTTCACAATCCTCCGAGACACTGACAGAGTCACGCCAGCGCGCTTCTCCAGAGCGAACCGAGGGACACAGACCCGAGGACACATCTGTTTGGGAAAAACTAAGGTTGCTGCTGGAAGAGGTGTTAGTGGGGCCAGCAGGGGGCGCTCACCCTGCAGTCCCTGTGGGTCCTAATGCCCCAGTATAGTGATGGGGACACTATACTGTAAACAGGCGCCGTCCTTCGGATGAGACGTAAAACCGAGGTCCTGACTCTCTGTGGTCATTAAAAATCCCAGGGCTCTTCTCGAAAAGAGTAGGGGTGTACCCCGGTGTCCTGGCCAAATTTCCAATTGGCCCTTACTAATCATGGCCTCCTAATAATCCCCCTCTATGAATTGGCTACATTACTCTGCTCTCCTCCCCACTGATAGCTGATGTGTGGTGAGCGTTCTGGCGCACTATGGCTGCCGTCGCATCATCCAGGTGGATGCTGCACATTGGTGGTGGTGGAGGGGAGTCCCCATTACCTGTAAAGCGCTTTGAGTGGAGTGTCCAGAAAAGCGCTATATAAGTGTAAGCAATTATTATATTATTATTATCTGTAAACTAGGTGGACATGCATTTAAAACTGAGAGCAAAAGTTTTAATCAAGGAGTTGTGGGAGTGTGAAACAAGCTGCCCAGGCATGTTGTTGAAGCCAATACCCTGACTTCTTTCAGAAAACAGCAGGATGAGTGTGGTGGATCACAAAGCCTCCTTTATTCCAAAAGCTCTGTTGCGACAGGCACTGCTCTCATGGTGCTCTTTTGTTTCGAACCCTTAATAGGTTTAATTCACTCCGTTTCCGGGCTAAATGGACTGAAACAGCCGTTCAGTTCCAGCTGTGACGTGGTTGTTGGCTGGTCTGGTTTTGTTTGTAAAGTCATTATTCCAGACAAATCCCTGGATATGTAAAACAGAAACAAATGCGAGACCAAAGCATGAAAATCAAGGCGCCTTACTTTCTTCTTTTTTTTTTGCTGCTCTGAGCATTTTTATTCAGGCGATTTCAATGGCCAGACCCCTTGGTTCTAGAAAGGCCCCTGTGAAATTGGTCACGTATGTGCGCCATTACGGCTCTAATCTTTCTGCACCACGACGCCACAGGGGCACGTCTGGAGAGCCAACATGGCGCCAGTGGCCTGCTCGCGCGCCGGGGGTGGGCGTGTGCAAGGGCGGCCGCCATGTTGCGCGCGAGTGTGCGCGGAGTGAATGAGGCGTCATCGCTCCCACCGCGGCGGTGTAGCGAAGCGGAGTGCGGCCTCTATAAAACCGCTCGGAAACTTGGCTTTGGAGGCGCCGTAACTAAATTGAAAGAAGCAAAAGCATTAGATCGATAAAATCCGTCCCTCTTCGTGATCACCGTTGATCTCGAAGTTCTCTCTGCGTGCAGAAGCAGCTGCCCGGCTCGGCTTGTAAATCATGCAGCGCCCCGCTCTGGGCTGGTCCGTCCCCGGCTTTCTGCTGCTCGTCGCCGGGCTGTGCGGCGCGGAAGCGCCCGACGCCTCCCTGGTGAACGAGGAGGTGAAGCGCACGGTGGACCTCAGCTCCCACCTCGCCAAGATCACCGCGGAGATCCTGCTGGCCAACCAGGGCGCCTCGCCGGCGCACAGCTTCGTGGTGGCGCTGGAGCCGGAGCTCGCCGGACACCTGGCGTTCGTCGGGGTGACGGTGAGCGTCTGCGGGAGAAACGGGCCTGTTCCAGCGGCTCTGAGCAGGGTACCGGGCGTGGGGGGAGACGGTAGTTAAACTCGCCATAATGGTTACTGCGCAGATAATACACACGCCTGTTGGGGGAAAAACTCCTCAACCGCTCGAGTGATCAAGTTAGATGAGCGTTGACTTCATTGCTTCTCAGTCCGTTTTGGGGAAATACTGTAACGTGTGTGTGGTCTATGACTTTGTATAACTATAACGTGCAGGACAGAGCTCAAGGCTTTTCGCACGTTGTGGTGCTGAATGGCTGTGCATTAAGTTTTAAACTGGTCTTCTCTGCACGTTGGCTTATGCGATTACCCCAGCCGGCGCAGGAGACATTTTAAACTGCAGCGTTGCTACCCTGAGCTAATTGGGTGGTGGGGAATAAATCAGCAGTCAGAAAATATAACCTTCTTGTTTTGTGTGGTTACATTTCTGGATGCATTTTAAAAACAAGCACCCGGACACCGACCGTGTCCACTGCTGCGTGTGAGCTTGACGGCTCCGGCTTCCGCGTGCCCCCGCCTCCTCGGCGGTCCTCGAGCCGCTCTGTGACACGTAAGCACTCGGCTCGCGCTGGCGCTCGCGGACGGGTTCCGGGGGGGCGGTGCGCGCGCAAGGAAGAGTCTGCAAGGCTCTGTGATTGGTCTTAAAAAAAAAAATACCAGACCCCTGTCCCTACCCCCCCCACCAAGACTAAGATTTAAACGTTAATCTTGAGCCTCATGGCTGCCGCAGAGTCCTCCCGGGTTCAGGGGTTCCTGTCCTGCCCGAGGAACCCGCCCTGTTCCTGGGGAGTAGGGCTGCCCGTCCGGGGTTCAGGGGTACAGGGGTTCAGGGTCGGGCAGGAGAGCGCCCGGGGCTGACCGCTGCTCTGTGTCTGGCAGGTGAAGGGCGAGGAAGAGGAGGACAGCGCCCTGGAGCTGCAGGAGACGACGGTCAGAGGTCAAAGGTGAGCTCCCAGCGTCTTGCGGGGGGGGGAGTTCGTTAACGGAACCGGTGGCTCGACCCGCTCCGGGCCCTGCTGCCCCGCCGGTTCCTCTGCTCCCGGCTCCAACGCCTGTCCCTCCCGTCCCTGTGTCCCCCAGCGGCAGGTTTTTCCGGGCGCAGCTGCCCTCGGCGCTGGCGGGGGGCGCCCGTCTGCGCGTGGCGGTGGAGACGGTGTTCACCCACGTGCTGCGGCCCTTCCCCACCCGGATCACGCAGGCCGAGCGCCAGCTGGTGGTCTTCGAGGGCAGCCACTACCTGTACTCGCCCTACGCCACGCGCGCGCAGAGCACCCGCGTGCGGCTGGCCTCCAAGACCGTGGAGAGCTACACCAAGCTGGGCAGCCCCAGCCGGAGCGAGGAGGTCATCGAGTACGGCCCCTTCCGCGACGTCGCCCCCTACAGCCAGGTGGGTGTTCGCCCGGGGGCGCGCAGGAGCCCCAGGAGAGGAGCGGCTCCGACACCGGCCGGTTCTGGGGCGGGTGCAGGGTGGGAGGGGTCAGCGGCCGGTCAGTGGGGGGCGGGTGACGGCCGGCGACCCTCCCGGGGGCTCTGCTGCTGCTCCTCCTCCTCGCTGACCGGCTCTGCGTCCCTCCTCCCTGCAGGACGCCATGAAGATCCACTACGAGAACAACAGCCCCTTCCTGACCATCAGCAGCCTCACGCGCACCATCGAGGTGTCGCACTGGGGCAACATCGCGGTGGAGGAGACGGTGGACCTGCGCCACACCGGCGCCACGCTCCGGGGGCCCTTCTCCCGCTACGACTACCAGCGCCAGTCCGACAGCGGCGTCTCCTCCATCAAGTCCTTCAAGGTGCGTTGAGGGGGTGAGGGGTACCCCGCAGGCGGGGGAGGGCCCTGGGGACCCGGATCCCGAAGGAGAGGCGGCCCTTCAGGCTTCAGCTTCAGCGGCGTGGCTGGGCCGCCCTCGCTCCACTCTCCCACCACCCTCGGTGCAGAGAAGCGCCTCCTGCTCTGGGTTTTGAATGCTCCTCCCCGTTGTTCCCGCCTGTTTCTCCGTTTGCTCCGAAGACGTCCGCTGGGGTGACGTGGAGGGTTTTGAGAACAGTAGGGTCTCGACTTGTGCTCGTTAGGCCCCTCTCTCCGAGACCGGAGAGGTCCCGTTCCAGAGGACGCTGCGGCTCTCCTGAGGACTGCCCCTTCCCTCCTGGAAAGCCGGAGCGCGGGCGTCAGGGGGGCTCTGGAGACCAGGGTGGGCTTGATCCCCTCTCTTGCTCTGTCTTGAACAGACCATCCTGCCGGCTGCGGCCCAGGACGTCTATTACCGGGACGAGATCGGCAACATCTCCACCTCCCACCTGCTGGTGCTGGAGGACTCCGTGGAGATGGAGATCCGGCCACGCTTCCCGCTGTTCGGAGGCTGGAAGACTCATTACATCATCGGGTACAACCTGCCCAGCTACGAGTACCTCTACACCCTGGGTGAGAGACGAGCACACGCACTGGCTCTGGGACACCACACACACCAGCACACGCACACGCACGCACGCACACACACGCACGCACGCACGCACACACACACACACACAGGCTCTGGGACACCACACACACCAGCTCTGACCTGGTCTCACACACACACACACACACACTCCAGCTCTGACCTGCTCACACACTGGCTCTGGGACACCATACACTCACACTCACACTCACACTCCAGCTCTGACCTGCTCACACACTGGCTCTGGGGCACACACACTCGCGTACGCTCTCTTGACACTCGCCCACCTGCTCTCCCTCAGGTGACCAGTACGCTCTGAAGATGCGGCTGGTGGACCATGTGTTTGACGACCAGGTGATGGACTCCCTCACGCTGAAGATCATCCTGCCCGAGGGAGCCAGGTGAGTCCCGCGCTGCCTGGGCAGGCGTTCTGCTGGCTCGGCTCGGCCCGGCCCGACCTGCATGCCATGCTCCATCATGATCCCTGGTGTCCTTGCAGGAATATCCATGTGGACACTCCCTACCCCATCGACCGCATTCCCGACCAGCTGCACTACACCTACCTGGACACCTTCGGCAGGCCCGTCGTCGTGGCGACCAAGACCAACCTCGTGGAGCAGCACATCCAGGACATGGTGGTGAGCCCTGAGCCGCGGAGCCGCCAGGGGAGACCAGTCGAGCACAGGGAGAGGGGGTGGTCACCGCTGTCTGTCTCTCTCAGGTCCACTACACCTTCAACAAGATCCTGATGCTGCAGGAGCCCCTGCTGGTGGTCGGCGCTTTCTACATCCTCTTCTTCACCGTCATAGTGTACGTGCGCCTCGACTTCTCCATCACCAAGGTAAGGGGGACCTCATTAGCTGATTTGATCCCCGGATAATATTCGGACGTTACTTGGAGGAAGCCAGAGTGTTGTCCTGGCTGTTCCACACCCCCGCCGCTCTGTGTGTGAAGTGGTACCTGTCTGGTCTTGGCCTGCTGCTGGCTCTGAAGAGCTCTGCTCTCTCTCGATCTCCCCAGGACCCTGCGGCCGAGGTGCGCATGAAGGTGGCGTCCATCACGGAGCAGGTGCTGACCCTGGTGAACCGCCGGCTGGGCCTGTACCGCCACTTCGACGAGGCCGTCAACAAGTACAAGCAGTCGCGCGACAGCGGCGCACTCAACAGCGGCCGCAAGACCCTGGAGGCGGAGCACCGCGCGCTGACCAACGAGATCGCGTCGCTGCAGGCGCGCCTCAAGGCGGAGGGCTCCGACCTCGCGGACAAGGTGAGGA